ATACCCAAGGTTTTGGTGGCAAATATATAGCTATGTATTCCGGGCAGTACAAATGACGCGGGAATTTTGTGCGGCACTGAGGCGCCAGTGCCGCACAGAATTCGGACACCTTTCCCTCTTGTGGCGTCCCCATTCCACCCAATAGCTTGCCACTATGGCCTAATGGACAGCATCCAGGCCTACAAAACGAGGGTCCCGGGTTCGACCCCAGCCCGCGGCAAGGTTTTTGCTTTTTGAGCCCCGAAAAGGTTGGGGATCCTTTAACATGGCTTAAGGGAAAATTTGACTTTTTAGGTCCCCACTGCACCTGCCGGAATGTGCTCGAGAACGAGAGCATGCGGTAAGTTGCTCGAAAATATCTTTCACCTCCTCTCTCTTTCTCTCTCTCTCTCTCTCTCTCTCTCTCTCTCTCTCGCTCTCTCTCCCTACTTCTCTCTAGCCTTCAAATTCTTTTCCATTATCTTCGAGATGTAAATTTTAGGAGCCGTCCTCCCAATGGTCTCAGCAAGGCGAACGAATATGAATGAAGACTACATCCACTTCTCCTCGCCCCAAGACATGAACCAATACCTCCGAACGCATAACGATTACGCCCCGTCGGGTCGGGGTGTCATTTGTTGGGTGTGGCCGTAATATATACATTATATAATAAATTCTTGAACAATTGGCGTCTCTTACTTCGCGAATCGACTCAAAATGAGAAAATGACATGTTGCCAACTTACTCCCAAATGACAGACACATTGACAACTCGAAAAATATCGAAAAGTGCAAAAAACCGGCTCTTGCCTGCCCAGGACTCGGTAGATTAGAAAAGAAAGTGATCAGCCGGACGAAGTATCATTTAGGAAAATATGAGGTTTTTGCTGTTGATATCCATTGAGTTCGTAATTTGCCAAGGTTTGTAGTTAACGGTCTTCAAACCATTTTTTTGAGATCCGCCGGCTTTTCCGGGTTTCGGCGGTGGTGATGGGTTTGGACCTGGGAGGAGTCCGTTTGCGATACCGGGAGGTAAATTTACATTATTTTGCTATAATATGGTATCCTTGTTTGACATAGCTTTAACTCTACTTAAAAAAATTATTTGTAATTTAGGATTTGATAATGGTGGCAATGGTCCTCCTCCAAATTTTGGTGGCATGGCTCCGGGAGGTAGGGAATAAAACGGTTCTTTGGGATTGCACATTTTTTTTCGGCACAAGCCGAAATGTTTTTATAAATAGCGGATGCGTTACTAAATTGTTTTTAGCTATCCCTGAGCATACAAACTACACACATCTTAATTTAAAAATTGAATTTTAGGTCGAAAAATCCTAAAGAACCTTTAGGATTAGCGGGGAGGCGAGAACGAAGGACCTAAAATGACCAAGTTTTCGACTTTTCCAGACACTTTCTAACTTTTTTGAAGGTTTTTTGCTTTAAATATAGTTAAAATTTACTAAAGACAATGGGCAAACACAAGCACCTAAAGAAACAATAAAACAGATGTAAAAATCCAAATTGTTAATTCAGGACATGGCGATGGTTTTGGAGGACCAGGACGTGGTAATCGAATTATGGCGTATTGTTAATTTTGTAGGGAACGGAGGCGGATTCGGGGAGTTAGGGGACCTGGTAAGTTCGGTCAAGTAGTAATTCATGTCAATATTTGCAGGAAATGGCGGCGGTTTTGGCGGTCGAGGATCTGGTATTTTGGTTTTATTGTTCCACCAGGGTTGAAAAGCCGCTACGCGGCTTTTCACCCCTGGCCTTTGCGGGGGTATCTTTAGAAGCTGCTCACTTTGCATAATTCTAGCGAATCAGCGCCAACCTCTCAACTAAATAAAACAAAAGCGACCGAATGCGAGCGTGACAAAATCCGAAATGAGCCCCTTAACGGCTCGTATGCAAATGAGGACATTTCCATATGTTTTAAAAAGACTAAAATAAGGGATAAATCGTCATTTTCTTTAAAATCTGATAAGCGCGCAGTAATCTACGCCTTCGAATACCCCTAAATACGTTTCAGTTGGCCCCTAAAACCCTTTTCCCGTCATGATATCTCAATAACCCGGTTTTTTCGAGCCTTTATGCAAAGTGTCTACACACACACACAAACACTATTTTTTTATATATTGTTCCCATAGTTTATCTTAGGAAATGGAGGCGAGTTTGGAGGAGGACCTGGTAAGCCGGTAGCACTATTTTAGCTAGTTTTATAGGCCGTGGTGGAGGATTCGGAGGTGGAGGATCTGGTAAGATAAACTACAATCATCGACCATCCTTTTAGGGCCCCAACGACCACAGCAAAATGAGGATTTCGATGAGCAGGCAAGTAGAAGATTGCAGAAGATCGAAAGAAGAGAGAGATAAAGAGGGAGAGAAAGCAGAGAGAGAGATAGAGAGGGGAGAGAGAGAGAGAGAGAGAGAGAGAGAGAGAGCGGAGAGGGATGCTACCATCTACTACGTTCATATCGCCCTTTTAATTACGGTTCCAGAATAATCCAAACGCCGACTACAACGCCATCGGCGATTACGATCTGTGAGCGACCGAATTTTGGCATTTCCAACTTGTCCCAGAAATCCAAGTGCTGGAAATCCTGGAGGCCGTCCTCGTGGCAACCTGGCGGCGCATCTAGTGCCGGTTAAACATTTATTCCGATTTTGACCAGTTTATCTAGCTTTATCGACATTTTAACGAGCAAACCCGGCACCATTTCGTGCACTCTAACCTGGACGTGATGCATCGACAGTCGGGACAAAAGGGTCGGCCCTATCAGTGGACCCACCATATCATCGGGCTGCAGGAGTATAATCGGTAAAAAGTTTTGAAATTCAACTTTTAAGATAGGAAATAGGAAATTTGCAATTGATGCATTTTTAATTTATCTCTGCAAACTTGCTGCTTCGAATAGCTTTACAGCACTAATTTATTTATAAAAAATGGCTTGCTTTTCTCGTCCAAATCATGTCGTGAAAATTCTATTTTAGGAACCGAGGCCAAATCTACCGACTCTGCCCTTCACTGGTGCAGCTTCAAAGCCTACGCAAAGGCAGTGGTGCCCAGATGATGGTTTCGAATCCGGCGCAGTATCGTGCCGGAAAGGCCAATGGATGGGTAGATTTCCACCCTATAAATTTATTTCTCCGGCATAGTTGCACTTACTGTATTTCGTGCCATCTTTTTCGAATTTTTAACACTTTTCTAGACCGACACCGCACCGGCCGGGATGTGCTCAAGGACCAGGGCTTGCGGTAGTTTTTTCATTTTTTTAAGTCTTGCATTCGCTATCGGAATCGACTATTTCGAATTTGCAACATTTCCGACAACTTTAGGCGCTACTCTACCACTGGTGGCCGCAAGGAGAACTAACCTGTCGCAAGACTTCATCCACTTTGTCGGCCGCGCCGAAATGGACGGCTACATCCGTACGCACAACAACTATGTGCGCTCTGGCAGGGGTGTGATTTGTTGGGTTTGGCCTTGATTGTCGTTTGGATAAATTGTAAATTGTAATTACTAACATGCAATTGACAATGATTTTCATACTGTAAAAAAGCCCCCTAATAAGCTTTATTGCTTCCTACAGAAGCTTGCAGAATTTTGCAAAGATCGCCGGGAGCCCCACGGACAAAAAAAAACCCGCGCAGGAAGCCCATCGATCAAAAGGGCAAAGCCAGTGTAGGGAGTTTTTGGCGGAAGCGGATGTTCAGCCTGCTCTTTCTTCCTGAAAACGAGATCAGGGGCTCAGAACACGGCGCTGGGTCTAAACACTGCTGGCTTATGTGCTGTGAGAGGAGGGAAACCCCAAGGAAAGGACCCCCACCCCCCCCCCCCCCCCTCCCCCCCCCCGCTTCTCTCGCTCTCTCTCTCTCTTCCTCTCTTCCTCTCTCTATCTCTTCAATTTTTCAGTAGTTTGGCAACCCGCGTCGTCCACTCAGAAGACACCAGAGATCTTCCTCCTTGCCTGAGGCAACTACACACATTATCGAGAATTATGAATCAGCCCTTGCCGCTTCTGGGCCTCCGCCCGCGCCTTTGACGTCCCAAAGTCCGAGCATCTCCACGAAACGGTTCTGGACCTAAAATTGACGTCAAAAAATATGGGTTAGGATTTGGAGCAAGCCAAAGAACATGTTTGATTCCTGTGTGAAAAAGAACGAGCAAGACAGTGTGAGAGAGAGGCGAGAGAGAGAGAGAGACAGTAATGCCATAAAAGCATAAATTGCCCTGAAACTCATCAAAGTCCAATAAAATCAGACATCTATCCAATTCCCGCAACGATTAAACTCATTCCATGCCACCTTTTGTTTTCCTAGTTCTGGTGGCTCCTACGCACCCCCTCGTGATATTTTTGTTAGCCGATCAACGAGCAGACGGGCGGCAAAACACAAATTTACCAATCAGCACCGGGTTGGCATACGGTTGGAACAGTGGTGGCTGTGTATGTGAACACCGTGGGCCAGGCACGTATCGCATACGGTAACTAAACTCGTATGAATGATCTAAGACAATTTCGATCTGGCCAACGCATGACAGCACCAGACTTCGAATGTACTTCATTATCGGCTTAAAATTATGTCTATTTTAGCTCGTATTCCAATAAAATTAGGAATTATTATGCCCGATTTGGTAGTTTGTATTTGTTTTTAATCTATAAATGTTTGCTTAGGATTTTACAGAAATTTTGCTGCCTTAAAAATTTTGCCTGGATTCAATCAATAATCAACTAAAAAAATTAATATCCAGTTTCGCAATTTTTAAGAGTCTATTATAAATTATTTTCTTGGTCCCTCCGCTCCACAAGCAATTTCCTCCAACATGAACTAGCCGACCGACCGCGAGTGCTGCATAATCGAAACGCACTTTTTGCACACATCCCCCTACCTCGTGAATACGCCAATTTATGCGGCGCATCGTCCAAAATTCCACGACAACGCTATTTTCAGGGCATAGACGGCAGCGGTCACTTTTTGTGCAGAAAAATTCCCTGAAGTCTATTCGTTGGGCCGTGGCGTGAGATGGTGGTTTTTGATCGGAATTGACGAGTGGGGTGTTCCAAAAATAGGTGAAAAAGCTTGGTGTGGTCTTATCTGCTCTCTCTCTCTCTCTCTCTCTCGACTGATCCCCCCTCTCTCACTCTCTCACTCTCGCTCTCTCTCTCTCTCTCTCTCTCTCTCTCTCTCTCTAGTTCTGTTGTTAAACAAACTGTCTTCCCTCTGCCTCCGTTGGCTCCATCTCCCGCTTTTGCGCTGTAGATGGTTAAACTCGGAGAAAATCGTGCTGAGCCGGAAATTCCGCCCCGGTCGCCGTCTCTCTCGCTCTCTCTCTCGCTCTCTGGCTCCCTCGACAATTTATAAACTTTACTGCATATCCCCCAGCTCCAGCTCCATCCTTCCCGACAGCATCACCGAAGCACACCCGAAACGGGTTGTCGTTCCGTCTCTTTCCTGAAAACGTCGGCACCACATTTCCTTCTTCCACCTCCCTCCCCAGCTTCTTTCCGAATGAACCCACCGGGCGAAAGGCCATCAAGGTTTTTGCCTCGCTGCCCGTCTGACCGTCCCCTTCCCTTCTTCCTTCCTTCCTTCCCTCCTTCCGTGTCTGCCATTCTGCGCCCAAAGGGACTGAAAAGCATCCAAAACAGGGTAGTGCCGTGGAATTCCGGCAGAATTCGCGACGTAATGGCAGCCAATTTCCCACCGGCCAAAGAAAAATGAGCTCGCCGGAACAGCGACCACGTTTTGCGGCCTGCCACGGCAATTTGCGATTGGATACGGCAAGATTGGATGGGGTTGAATTAGCGCATTTTGGAATAGGGAACGGTTCTTTGGATTTGGAGCCCCCTGGGTTCTCAAAGGAGTTCTTTCTCCGGTCTGGGTTTTATCTTTGTTGCTGCATTCGAACTTGTTGAAATCTAAGTTTATAGTATGGAAGTTGCGGTTTATTTCCCAATTTTTTAGTTATTGCTTGCGGCAAAATCGTCGAAGTGCCACGATAGACGAGGAAAAGCATGTAAAAGTCGAAGTCGGGCTTAATCAATTGACAATGGAGTGTGGTGGCTTTTCTGTTAATACGAGCTTACCTGAAAAACTATAAAGGTCTTAAAAATCCTCCTCTCGCTCTGCACCCTCTCTCTCCCTTTCTCTCTCTATTACTCTCGCGCGCTCTCTATCTCTCCTTCTCTCTCGCTCTCTCTCACTATATCACTTTCGCTCGCTCTCTATCTCTCTCGTTCTCTCGCTCTTTCTCCCTGATAGAATTTTTGCGTATTTCTATACCATACCTCGAGCTGGTACTTTGCTCGTACCGCACCCAATTCACCAAGCATCAACGCCAAGCTTGCCAGGGGCAGAACTTACACACTATCGCGGCCGGGGCGAGACCATGGTTTTCGGGCGCCTAAAACCCAGCAGCCCGAGGATAAGTTCCTGGGGGTGGTGGGCAGTGGATCTTCTGGCTGTTTGCATGCATGTCCTTTTGACCGTCTGTCGCCGTGACGAGGCGGAACTTTTTGTTTCCGCTGCTTCTCATTTGAGGAAAATGCAAATCAGGTTCCGCACGAATGCAAATTGGAGCCGGACGATTCGGCACGTAGGCGGGAAGGCATAGATCGGGGTAAACTTTCTGTCGAATCTTAATAGGTTCAGAATATTGCAGTAACTAAATAAAAAGGGCGGTAAAGTTTATCAAGCATTTTCAGAACCAAGGGTTAGTGTTATTGTTTTCAGAACCAAGGTGGCGACTTAAATATCTTCGCTGATGTCGGAACATCCGGGGAAGGCGAGGAGCATTGCTGATGTGTTTTTGGAAGCCCAAAACCGGCACCAGGAGCTGGTCAAGGCAATTTATCACTTCGCACCACCGTGATGGACTCAAACCGGCGACAAGCCAAAATTTGCTCCGGGGGGGCTAATGTAAAGACCTAGGTTTGGGTCAGGTTTAGGCCTGGGCTTAGGATTCAGGCTTAGGCTTAGGATTAGACTTAGGTTTAGGCTAGGGATTCATCGTTAGCCGATGTGTGTTAGTTCCTTCTTTTTTACAGGTTCATGGAACGTACCCCTTCTGCCACTTCCCGACCGAGTTTCGTTCCAGTCGAAAAATTTGTCCCCCGACAAAGCTACGAATGAGAAATGATGTGGATGAAGTGGGTATGGAGAACGAACCCACGCCCCGATGCCTTGTTCGCGGATCGTGTACCGACGATAGTGCTAACGCGGAACTTCCTGTGCCCTTCCTGTCGGCTTGTTGAGCTGGGTTCGGGGAGCTGGAGGGGTGGACGCGCCGGCACTTTGCCCGTATCCTTCACTAAACACGGTGTTGGCTTGGGTTTTTGATTTATCGAATTTTTGACGTCGATGAAATTTACAGAATCTTAGCTTGTTGCTCTTGTTAAAGATGTGTGTTTTGCTTGTTTAGCTGTTTTTTTTCTGGTTGATCGTTAATTATTTTCGTCTGTTGAGTAGATTTGACCGTTACTAGCTTTGCTCAATCGCCGAATTTTTTATTTTAATAAGTTCTTTCCATGGCTAAAAACTGAAACCAAAATTGAAAAGCTAAACATTTACTAATAGGCATTTCTTGGCGCTTTAATTTTTCTTTGGATCGTGCTTTTGCTATTAAGAATTTTTAGATTAATTTTATCCCCGAGACTAGTGTCTAATTTGCTCCTCTGAACATACTGAGTTTGTGTTTTTCTCCGTCTTTCTCTCATCCCGGGGGCGACAACGCCCCGGCCGGCCCTTCGGCTTTTCGATTTCTCAGAACTTTGTGATCCAGGCGATGTTCGCGGCTCGCGCCAACCGTTCCATATCTCATCCGGCCACCGCTCTAGTTTTGCAACGCTAAAAATTTTCAAAATCTGCTTATTAACGGCACTTAATTTAGTCGGATTTATGGCTTAATTAGGAAGCTATATAAGGTGCAAGGTATCCTCGGATTAAATTAAATTGACATTGATTTAATTATCATCTACCAGAAGTTTAACAAACAAGTTACGTACTTATTTATGACCTGGGTATTGGATACTTTACTTTGCCCTATTTACCTACCAGTGGAAAATGACCGCTTCGCGGCCCTTTTCCACTGGCCCCCGTCTAGGAACCATATATTCCCCTTTCGTTTTTCAAGCCTGCGGCGCAAGAACCTGACTCTAGAAACCGTTCTCTGGCCTGCGGCGCTAGCTACTGGTTTTTCTCCAGAATTTAGGCTGCGGCGCGAGAGCCCAGGCCAAGCCCCCTTTTCTTTGGCCTGCGGCGCTAGAACCCGGGCCAAGGACCTATTTTTTTTGGCCTGCGGCGCTAGAGCGAGGGACTGGCCTAAATTTCGGATACCGAGAGCCGAAATATGTTTTGTTGTTGAACTATCAAAAAGCAAAAAGGCAAATTTGCCGAGGATCCGAACCCTCGACCATGTGCGTGGTAGACCGGACGTCAAGCCACTATACCAAAGGGGGCATGGGGAAGGGAGGCGGAAGGCATCTTC